GTTTTGGGTTTTGGGTTTAGGGCCTCATCCAGATTCAGTGCAGCCTCCTCGAGAGGTCAATCCAAAGACGTCAATCTGAAGGTCCAACCCAACGTCGCAGCGCAAGAGGGAGACGCAAGGAGCGAGTCTTGAGCAAGACGGGTTTTCAGAGACTTAATTGGCCAAACCTATAGAGCCTAAACCCTAAACCCAAAACCTATAGAGCCTAAATAGTAGTAGGATCTTCGAGGACCCTCGGGTCACTGCAGAGTCCTCGCTCTATCCCGGGTTGAAAGCTCGGCGTAGAGCCAGGACTGCAACAGCAACTCACGGCATGAGCCCCCCAAACCACAAAACCCCAGTCTGCGGCCTTAAAGCTACAGCGCCCCCCGAAAGGCGGCACAAGGAGAAATAAAAGAAAGCGCCCCTCGAAAGGCGGCACAAGGAGAAATAGAGAAAAGCAAAACCAAGCCCTGAATCCGAAACCGGAGGTGCTTCAGGGCGTGTCCTTCGTGCTGGAGGCTGGCCGCTCGGCCGGCTTGGTGGGCCCGTCGGGTGGCGGCAAGAGCACCGTCATGGCACCCTGGCTGTGTATGATTGACCTCTATGCGTTGCTATATTGCCTGATGGGGTTTAGGGCTCTTTTCTAAAGGTCTTACAAAAAGAAACAAAAGGCCAACCAGAAGCAATCAATACCGATGTTCTAGGGCCTGGCTTTAACACCAATAAATGGCACCAACTCATTGCCTTTTTTCCGCAAGGCGGAAACTAGTCCGCAGTGCCTGACGAGCAGCTGATGTTACATAGCCCTAAACCCAAAACCCGAAACCCTAAACCCTAAACGGTTTCAGGGTGGAAAGCTCCCAAAGTAGGACAGAGGTTGGGAGCTCGTACTTGTGGGTGGTTTAAGTAGAGGAACCTTTGACAACTGGAACAGGGTTCATGAAAGTTCCTGAGTGTAATTATAAACTATATACGCACCCCAAGATGCAATTCTAATTCTGAGGCCCCTAAGCATCCGTCGGCCTTGAACATCGAAGCCTGGATGTCGGCTTCTTCCACCAATTGCTGGTCCGGTTTGTGGTTTAGGCGTGTGATTTGCATGTCTCGGCATAGTTTGGCTTTTGGGTTCGGGGGTTAAGCCTGAATTTAGCAATATTCTTGTTGAAACTTGCCGGTAGTCTGGGTCCTTGTTGACTACAATTTTCATGTTTGTTATAATAAAACCCAATGAGGATTAAGCATGATCATTTTTATTGTAGCCCCAACAGGGAATCACAGGAGATAGACATGCTCTCACAGATGGCGTCGCTGCCACGATCCATGACGTCCTCGAACCCTGGAACTTGCGGAGCCCGCCCTTATAGAAACGCTCTATACGTAAACCCTCAGCCCCTATACACAGTCCTATAGAACCCTTCTGTACACCATCTAAACGCCTAGAAAAAACTCTTAAACTCTATCCTCAAAACTACCGAAAAGGCGATGCTCCAGCGCTTCTACGACCCGGCTTCCGGCTCTGTTCTGATCGGACTTTTGGCTCGGGAGACACCCTTGCGGCGTAAAGGCCCTTTATGTCTGATTGTGTGTGAGTGTGCGAATGCGTATGTGTGTGTGTGTGTGCGTGCGTGCGTGCGTGCGTGCGTGCGTGCGTGCGTGCGTGCGTGCGTGCGTGCGTGCGTGCGTGCGTGTGTGTGTGTGTGTCCTTTTGTTTGTTCTTTGTTTTGTTGGTGGGGGGGGGAGTGGGGGTGTTGCTTTTTTGGCGTTTTCTGTCGCTGGGGGAAGCAGAGGGTTGGGAATCCAGGGGTTCATGGGGAGGCGTGCTGGGTTTCGGCTGGAGAGGTTCAGAGCTTCCGCGCAGTGGTAAGGGTTTAGTGTCTTCCCAAGCCCGGATGCAAAAAGGGCACAGACCAGGTGTAAAAGGGTTTAGGGCTGATCACGAACAGCTGAGGCAGAGGCAGCAAGCCTGTTGCAAGTCGCATTCCAGTTTCAGGCTATAGTACTGAAGATGGAAATAAGAAGAGCTCCATCATACCTACACTTGTCCCTTGTAGCAGTTGTTTGCAAGCAGAACTTTCTCACAGGTGCCCCCCCGGATCAGCCCTGTAAATGAGCGCAAGCCTTGATCATTAAAAACGGGTTTTGGTGGATGTTGTGGTAGATCCCCTCGGGCTCGCTGTGGGCATCTGAGTTTGGGTCCTTTGGACCCTCCCCAAACCCGTAACTCCAAACCAAAACCCCTAAGCCCTAAACCCCTAAACCCTAAAATCTTAAACCGTCTCTCAGACTCTGCTTGGTCAGAGTCTCATGTCCCAATCGCGCTGAGGACAAGATCGAACTCCGCTCAGCGATCTCAACATCAGGTGCCATCAAAGATTCAGGGCTTAGAGTG